AATAACAAAGAAAAACAAAATGGTTTGTAATATTCATGCTGTTTTCATTGTTATTTAAAAATATAATCATCATTTATCAATGGTTATCGGGAAAATTCACATGTTATATGTGCCTTGTCAAAAGATATCAGTGTATGATAAAGCAATGATTCGAGATCACAAGTTATGAAGGATTACAGCAGTGCATTGGACGGGAGATACAGAGAAAGACGAAAAGCTTGTGTGAAAATGAAAAGAAAAAAAAAAGTTAAGCATCATGTATGCATAGCAGTATACTATACATATATATATTCATATCAAATGCATACATAGGGAAGGTCTTTACATAGAAATATATTCAATATACCTCATCGTCGATGGTTAAAACAATACTTTCATTCATACCCGTCGATTTTATTATCAATCTCACACTCATAATAATAAGCGTGTCAGAGAATACGACACGCTAAAATAAAATAAGAAAGGAAATTATTTATATATGTGTATATATCAATTAATTTTAAATAATATTATTTAAGTTAGTATTTTAAATCAAGAAGAAGATGCAGAATAATCCCACTTTAAAATAAAAGAAACCTACGATCGATTGATTTTTTCGTCTCAAACTCGAACCATTTATTGGTTCAAACATATTAACATGCCATCGAAAACCCTGTGGATATGTAATTATATATTTTAATAGAAATATTTTTAATCAAATTAGTCTAAAATTAAAAGAATTTCAAACTTACATCAACACGTATTTTCGTATCACCAGAAAAACTTGTTGTTATTGATGATGATGATGATGCACCATTTTCCAAATTTTTAAACATAGCAACACGTTCTTTTGCTACACCACGTTCAACAAGTTCATTATCAATATCTACTGTTCGTTTAATCTATAAAATAAATATATTTATTAACTTATTTTTATTAAGTTTTAATTAAAACATAAATTAATTTTCTAAAAACTCACTGTAGTTTCATCCGGTTTTTCAAATACTATTGCTCGATTTTTAGTTAAGCCACTTTCAATATCATCAGCTGAAATAGCTATTTTTGATGTTGTTGTTGTTGCTTTAATTGCATCAGCTATATACTGTTCTTTAATTATATTTGCTAATCCAGCTGTAACATCAATATATTTTTCTGTTGGTTTAAATTCACTATTTACTAATAATGCAAATTGATCACGTCGAGCTATTGCTGAACCTTGTTCTGCATCAATATCAATATTTCGATTAGTTGAACGTTGATTTTGATGTTCAGCATCAATTTTTGATAAGAATTCTGAAAGTTTAGCTTGTGCAAGACCTGTTCCAACAATAGTTGCTATTTCATCTAGACATGTTGATGTTCTTCGACTATCTGATATTTGACCATTTTCAAATTTAGCTTTTGTTTCTGTTGCTACACCAGCTAATACACCATGTTCAATAAAAATTGTTTTATTTATCATATGTGTTTCATTAATAATTTGTTGTTGATGTTGTTCAAATACTTGTTTTTTTGATGATGCTAAACCAGCAACAAGATCAGTTTCAATTTGTGTTTTACTTATATGTGATTCAATTTCTTGTTCAAATTCTCTTTGTTCAAATGCTTGTTTTTTTGATGATGTTAAACCACTTTGTACACGAACATCTAAACGTTTTTCTATTCGTGGTTTATTAATATCAATTAAACCTTTTTCAAATTTATCTTTTACTTCCGCCATTTCATGATAGGGTATCTAGAATAAATAAAATATGAGTTGATATAATATTATTTTGTTAATTTACATGTTCTTTTGGTGTTGACTTTCTTCTTGTTGATCGAATAGTACCATTTGATAATGGACTTTCATCTTCATCATTTTCTTGTCCAATATGACCATTAGATAATCCTATATCTTCAAATCTATTAAAGAAAATAAATGTTTCTAATTAGTTTTAAAAAAAAAAATATTCTATTTGAAAGAAATAAATTCAAAACAAATATATATATCATTTATAAAAAGACAATACTAACTTTTGAAATGTATGTTTTATTTTTTCACATGGTGCAAATTTTTCAACTTTTTGTAATTGTTGATGATCATCATCTTCATTAGTTTTTCCACTAAATAATTTTGTTATATTTCGTAATCGTTCTAATGTATCATCAGATGTATTAACATCATCGATTGCTATTAAGATGAGAGAAAAAAAAAAAGAAGAAGTATTTATTTTTCTATCAATCAAAACAAAAAAAAACAAAAATTAGATAGATAAAATCTTTACATACATGAACATTCATTTGAATCTAACATTATCTATACACACGTTTTTTTTTTTGTTTTTTGTGTTAACTAATAAAACGTTTCCTTCTTCCACTAATGATAACAACAGTGAGAATTTTACGTGTATATGTATTGTGGAAGATACTTGTGAGATATGTACCCTCGCTCTTTTCTTCTCTATATGCCGACCTATACAGAATGTACAGATAAATAGAAAAAAAAAATGTGCCCGCTGTGCTTTGTGCACATATAAACAATGAGTACCATCAGTAATCATTGGATATACTAAAGAAAAGAAGAAAGAAACGTAATATGCCATAGTAAATATTCATTCGTCCTTTTCCAATGAGAACACTAGATAATAAGAGAAAAGAGGTCAACATTCAATTCATAGATATTAACTAAAATAATTGTTTTTTTTTTGTCTATGAAATATATCTATTCGAATACGTAGCGAAATTTATTTTTATATTTGATAATGTTTTAGAATAGTTGTCAAATAGTATTTGAATTTATATTGAAAAAAAATTTTATTGAATTAATATTTCGATAACAATTGAAATTATATTATCAATTAAACTAAAAATTCGCAGGTGACCTTGTTTTTGATATTTTTATTACGTTAATCTTTCTTATCAACAAATAGTTAACTATTGATTATTTCTTGAATAAATTATAAGACGAAAATAAGATATCTTCTTGATTAAGTTTATCAAAGAAGTTCGATATTTGTTAGTATATCATTATCAAAATAACAACTCAATGTTCTTATTTACTAACAATTGCACATATTAGACTAAATAAATGTCAAGAAGAATAAAGTGCTTGATCATTATTTCAATATGGAAAAAAATGTCTTTCGATCGTCCAAAACAAGAAAAACAAATAAACAATCGATCGTCAAATTTATTATTGTGAAATAGACGAAAGAGAGTTAGTAATTATAACTCATCGAAAATGTCCCGAAATTACCAAGATTGGAGTCAGGAGAAAGGCAAACGTTGTATAGTTGAGTTTCGCTGAGAAAGAACGAAAACTTTTCAAGATTATGGAATCACTCCTTTCCGCTCGGGATATCCCTGTGACTAACAAAATTTACTTATCTCAAAAAAAAGTCATCTGATCAAAATGATCTCATTGACTCAGAATACTTATAAAGTATATTCTAGCATAACAATACACAATGTTAAAAAACATCAGATAAAGTATGGACTCTATTGTATACAGTAGAATCTTACGATCAATCAATGGATTTCGTAATATCACAAATTGATGTTTGTTCATATCGGCAATTGGTCTTTAAAGAATCAAACCAAATATTTGTCTAAATGCAATAAACACACGAATATCCGTTAAGCTGCTTGTACACCCATTAGAAGAAAGAAAAAAAAAGTTGGACAACATTTCGTGACCATGATTTTGACTTAAAAATGTATTTCTCTTTCTACTATGATTTTATATGATTAGATTTTTTTTTTCTCTCATATTATTTAGAATAATGATGGTTGTCATTTCATGTAACTCTTGTTATGTTCTATTAATAATAACCTTCCTGACCAAATTGATGATCAAAAATGTTGATGCTCATGAGATATTATTATATAATCTGTACAATGCTGATAATGATTCTTTATCATATGTATTATTTTGAACAATCAACTAATAGACTACATTCATATTATTGATTGACTTTCTTTCTTTTTGTTTTGTGTTATTCTAATAATACTAGTGATTATTTTTCAAATTTTGATACATAAAAATATCGAACATACATCGATTATTCTGAGTCTTTCCAATTGATTCAACTTACCTTGTTCATTATTTCTTTGATTATTATTACGAAAAGCTACAATTGTATGAATCATATAAAGATGAATAAATGTTGCACAAAACCATTCGTGTATTAAAGTCCAAAAAAGACGCCAGACATTGTTCGAATTATTGGCCATTGTATTAGTAAATGATAGACAAGAAAAGAGGAGTGTTCAATAATGATTTGATTGATTATATGATCAGTGAACTTTTCGTTCGTTAATCTCTTTCTCGATCGGATTAATTATGATTATATACTATTATCAAATCATATTATTTTTAATGAATCAATGATTTGTTGATTCGTCTGTAAATTTATAGAGTGATGCAAAATTATTTAAAAAAAAAAAAAGACAAATAATATTCTCTATTTTCGAATAACTACATCATTAAACATTAGCTTTGAAAATAAATAAAGTATCACTATCTATATATAATGTTGTTATTCATAAAGATCAATTATTGAACTTCTATAATCAAAAAGGTACAAGTACATATTTATCTTTTTTTGTTTAACATATGTTTGTTTTTTTCCAATAGAAAATTTAGTTATACAAATATTAACTCAATATTTATCAATATTATTTTAAATACACAAAAGAAAGATATAGATTATGTATTTCTTCATATAACTTTCCTTTCGATTGAAAGATTTTGTAGTGATTTTTCTAATTCTATTTCCCTCGCCGTTCCGTACACCCACACCAAATGTCATGTTTCTGTATTATATATGGTTTGCAGCTGGCAAAAATGGCATTCTAAAGCAAGATATATGTAAAGAAGACATTTATCTAGGAAAAGGAAGAAATGCAAAAGGAAATATAAGTAGGCTATTTTCTAGCTTGGATATCATTTTGTCGAGACATATGATTCATTGTTCTATACATATCTTCGTTCGAATACTTCTCGACATTCGATTCTTTCTTATATATATAATGACACAAAATCACTGCTTCTGCAAACTTGAAAAAACTTGAATAAAAAACCAATATGCTAAATAATAGAGGACTTTTTCATATAGAAATATGTTTATCTTTTCTTATTTCTATATTAGAGAAAAACGGATCGGAATATCACAAAACTCGTATATTTACTTTCTTTGTTTACTGACATTTTGAAATATGTTTGAATGATAACTCATGAACGGTTGTTATGATTTTATTGAAACTGTCAGATTAAATAGAGATCAAAAAATTATATTAGCGATAATAATTTCAATCATTTAGCTTTTACTCTTCCGAAAATATTCAAAATTTGATTAAAAGAAGAAGCTGTGTAGTGACGTTTTTTCTACAAATATTTTCAATTAAATTAACTCAAAAATATTTTCAACTATAATTTAACTCCGAAGAATCTATTCATTTCCGATTCAGAGTTGCAGAAGTAATTTGAATCTTTTCATCGAATAAAATCAATTTAATCATTGAATTAAGTAGAAATTGAATTTTACATCGTGCATCTTACTTAATATTCAATGAAATTTTCGGAAAATTTTGTTATAAAATATAGACACAATGTATAATCAAATGTGCTACTCAAAAATTTTTCATTTTTTCATATCATTTGTACTAAAAATATTTCAATTCACTCATATATATTATCTTCTAATAGTAAGATTAAGACATGGTTGATACACAACTAGTAATGAGTGGGACCAATCTTTTTTTGATCCTGATCTCAATCAAAAAAGAAGTTTTTAGTTCTGGTTTTACGCTTGATAAATCATGTGTACTAGCGAAAAATGCAATATCATTTTCTTGCACTGTTAAGGGACTCGAAACATCTTGTACGACTAGCATGACCTTGAATGTTCTTCCTCTTGGAGATTCATTACTTTTATCTCCTCAATTCTGTACGTTTATGTGTTCGACAACTCTATTGTTTATGAAAACAATGGTTTAATTTTACTATCAGAATTGCAATAGCAAATATTAAAGTGATCATTACTCAATGATTTTCGTATCAACTTTTAGAACACATGAGTTGTAAAAATATGATATTTGACGTAAGTCTTACATGACCATAAAAGATATCACTTCCAATCAAAAACTACTGGTCCCAATCCTACCGAGACCATCTTGTCCATATCTATATATATATGATCAAAAGTTATATATCAATAACATCTTGTTATAATGTATGAACTATTTTCTTATTTCAGTTCTGAAGGATAAAATAAAAAGATAATGAAGAAATCTACTCCAAGACAGATAGAATAAAACAATCATTTTGTGATTAGTAACAACAGCTGCATCGTGTTGTATATTTTAATTCTATAGGGACTGTGTACTAATAGCTTCTTTTTCTAAGGTTAGAAAAAGCAATCAGTGTATACGATAAATAAAAAATAATAAAATATATAGTAGCCAAATATTGTATATTCTTTGCTTGAAGGAAGTTGACAAGTATATTATGATAAATGTCATATAGAATAAAAGCAAGTGCAATCAAAACAAAAAATAATTAATAATTGATATGCAACTTTATGTTGACTTCATATAAGTATTCTAACGTTATTTAAAATAAACTAAAACATTGATTAAAAATAAATAATAAAATTTAATTATATAATTAATTTTTATAATACTAAAGAAATATAATATTGTAATTTTACAAAATATAATTGATAAATTATTTTCCAAATTATCTAAAGTCATATGACCTCGAACAAAATATAAAGAATACGAAAAAATAAAAAACAAAATTTGAAAATACATTGGTATTCATTTTGACGTAGTCGCAAATCTATAACTGCATAAATAATCATCAATTGTATCAGTAATCGATCTAGATATTTTATAGAATCATAAAGAAACCAATAGATGCATTTCATAGATGAGTTATTTGATTGACACTATATGAGAGCGTAGGAAAAAGAAAGGCTTTATCCGCATGCGTCGATAAGAAATCGTGATAACATAATAATGATGAAAGTATGTAATAACTATAAACAATATTATTATTCATAGAATCTTCTATTTATTTATTTAACGCATAATGTATTTCACATATATGCTTCAATACTCAAATTTAAAATGTTTATTTATAATAAAAATACAAAAAAAAAGGGATTTAAACCTTCTCTTTACATTTCTATTTACATAGCCATACTTTTCTAGAGTACATTTTGTATTTGAGTACCTATTCATCATTAAATTCAAATTAATCATCTAGACATGTCTTTTATTTTTCATGAAAACATTTTAATAAGATATTTATCAATTTGTATTATTGATTTCTACATAGAAAATCATCTTTTTTTTCGAAAAAAAAATTATTTACAAGATGAATTTTTGATAATTAATTTATTTGTTTTTAATAGACTCCTTTATTAGTTAATCGATAATTAAAAAATGGCGTAGACAGATAAATCATCAAAACATAAACATGACCTTCGCATTCGATAATCAATGAGACTCACATCAAATGAAACTAACATCAAACAAATTCGGATACTATTAATAGAATTTCGAACTAAAATTGACTTGTATATTATTCATTTCACATATAATGATAAATTATAATCAAAGATCAAATGAATAAATGCCTATTATTTTTTTTTCATAAAACCTTTTGAATCATCTCATGAGAAGATTATTTCGAATTTTTGAATTTAGATTTTCTATGATTAACCTATTCAATGTCTGTATTTACTAATATCATAATCAAAATAATTTTATTGATAACGAAACTCAAATTACTTAGAACAGTTAAATGAGGATCTATACGTATGAAGTTAGTCACACTCTAAAAGATGTATAATTAATCACTGAACAACTACTAAATGATAATGAAATTTATAAATTTGTTGTACAATATACTGATTAATGACAGAATCTATTTTATGAAAAATATTCAATATAAAATTTTTCTTATCAATGCAGATATCAATGTCTTATATGAATCAAATTTTTGTGACTTGACTCGAGTGGTTAACACACAATAATAATGAAAAGAATAGGGTTTTTTTGTCTTAAATGAAATTTCATATAGTTAAATAGAAGAGTACGTAAAGAAAACATAAAGTATGATACCTACAAGATATCTATTGATGGTGTTATAGTTATAATGAAAATTAAAATACATCAATTATGTATAAAACTTCAATTGTCCATCGAAACAATCTCATATAGTTTTTATTTATTTATATGGACTGCTGATAATCTTATATATTTAAAAAACAAAAACATTCATAACAAATAAAAACTATAATAATAATAATAATAATTTATTTGTTTTTCTGCTCGTAAATCCATTTTGTATATGGTTCTTCGAATAATAATGCAATTCTATAAGCTATATAAACTTCTATTGTAAGTAGAATACCAACAGGTGAAGAATAATATAATGCTAAAGCTAAAAATGATAATGTTGATCCAATATACATTGGATTATTTAATACATTAAATGGAAATGTTGTTACTGGTGTATCCATAAGAATTCCACAATAATCACCTAAAAATGTTCCTGTAATACCTAATTTATAAAATGATGAAAAAACAAATATTTGTCCAATAATAAATATAACTATAGCAATAAATTCTATTAAATAATAATAATCTTCGAATAATATTAATTTTGGTTGATTTTGTATTGTTTTTCGAATTAAATAATCTCGATATGATGAAAATGAAAATATCCATATCGTTAATAAATAACATGCTATATAACGTATATATGTTGGAGTATTTTTAGGTATAAATTTATAACATAAACGTGCTAAGATATTCCATATAACAGGACATAATACGATGGTAAAACATGTATAATGCAAGAGAGGATCATTGAAATGAATCATTGTTAAAGAAAACATTTCATTCAAGAACCAAATTTCAAATTAGTCACTGGATTTGAATTTTTGTTGTTTTACTTTAGAAGTAAAGACCAAGTGCAGAAGTTCTTTTTTTTGCTTGTTAAAAGATAAAGTTTGTTTAGGTATAATATGGACGAGATATGGTATTTTATGGGTTCAATATTTCAAATATCAAATCAAAAATTGTTACTGAATGTTGTTGTTCTAAAAAAGAAGACTTAATATTTTAAGTGTCTAAATGAATACCAATTATACTATTAAATGATATTTCAATACTTTATCTAGTTGGAATCATTCATAGAGGAGTAAAAAAAAAAGATAAGAAACGTGACAATAATTTATGTTTTGTGAAATAACACGTGTCTGTAATAGATAAAATTTATTAAACTAAACAAACAAAAAAAATGATAATTTATTGAGAATCTCAAGATTATGTATATTTTAAATTTATTTTCTTAAATTTATCTTTCCAAGTTTTGATCAAATTTGAATATATTAAAAGCTAAATGTGCTATTTTCGTCATAAAAATATCGGCCATGAAACGTCTCTTCCTATATTGTATTGTCTTCTTTGCTCGTTAATTTTTTTCATGACATATTGATGACTCCTTTTTTCTTGTTTCTCGACCTTCATTTTATGTATCTCTCATCTTTCGAGGTATCCCTACCCGAACCATAGAGGTACATCGTTAATATTGCAATGAGAGTATATCAAGAAAGATGTATAACGATATGCCCCCACCGTTATTTATCGTGCTATTGTCTTATTTTGTTTTTTCGGTCGCAAAATACAAGGATTGAAAAACTGAAGAGAAACAACGAATTGAAGTTAGCATTGGCTTTAGTCATCTATACAATACTAATGAAAATACTTTTCCCTTCATTTATTTACATTTTT